AGGGGCGGGGACGCGAGCGAGGCCGGCCATGGAGCCCCTGCGGAGGGCCCACGAGGCCGCGCTCCGGCTGCTGCTGTGTCGGCCTTGGGCCTCGGGCGCCGCCTCCCGCCCGAAGCCCCGCGCCTCGGAGGTGCTGACGCGGCACCTGCTGCAGCGACGCCTGCCGCACTGGACCTCCTTCTGCGTGCCCTACAGCGCCGTCCGCAACGACCAGTTCGGCCTCTCGCACTTCAACTGGCCCATGCAGGACGCCAACTACCACGTCCTGCGTACCGGCTGCTTCCCCTACATCAAGTACCACTGCTCCAAGGCCCCCTGGCAGGACCTGGCCGGGCAGGATCGGTTCTTCACGGCGCTCAAGGTCGTCAACCTGGGTGAGTGGCCCGGGCCTGTGAAGCATGTCCCGCTGACAATGGGATCACTGTTTGCAAAGCACGCTGACAAACGTCGCTCAGACGCCGAGACCCCGGCCCCAAGGTCAGGCCGCGACAGCGCCGGGGAGCCCCGCGCAGACTCGCCCGGGCGCACGCGCTCGCCACGCTTCGGCCCGCGCTGTTGGGTTTCTCAGACCCTGCCTCCGCGTCTCACCCACTCTGCGGCGTTCTAGGACTGGCCTTGGCCCTAGTATTTTGGATTCCCCCCACCCACCCCAATCCCTCCCCGTACATGCTTGTCGGGGCTGAGTAGTTGCTACTGAGTCATTCCCAGAAAAGTCGGGCTTTATCCCAGACCTATATCCAGGGACCACACTGCATCACCCCTGGGGAGGAGACATTCATGCCATCCTCACCTGCTGCAGCTCTTGACTGGGAGGACCCGGACCCCTACAGTGGGCAGTAAGAATGAGGGTGTAAGGAAACGACCCCACTGCAAAGTGGCTCTGAAGTTAAGAAATGTCTTAATGCATGGCAGGATTCGTTCCCATGACCATCATTTTCTTGGGTGCGTTCGGTATTACAAAAACTGGAACTACTTTCTGAGTTTCATTGTTTTCTTTATATGAAATCCCAGCAAGTGCGTTTAACTAAAAGCACTAAAGGTTTTCACCGGTCATAGCAGCTTCCTAAGGTGCTAGGCCTAAAAGGTACCAAAATATTCTGCCTCTTTAATATTTCTGTGTTTTCATGGGAATATTCTAATTCGGAGAGCATTTACTCTTGCTGGATGCTTATTTTCTTTTGGCTAATGAGGGAAGAGGCATGAACATTGACATAAGTATATCGTTTGTATCTTTATCGAGAGGCCTCAAGATGTTTTGAACCTATTAATAGGTAATATCACATTGATCCAGATTTTAGTAATTCAAAATCTAGACGTGGGAGCTGAACCATGTTACCCAACCAGTTTTTTTAAACCAGAGTTAAAGCTAAACCCCTGTGCACCTGCATTGGTATTATATAATCTGATGGCTTATTAATTTAAGTATGGTATTTATGTATTTTCGCTTATAGTCACTCACGTCAGTCATGGGATTTTTGAACCATTGGTCTACTGGGACTGTTCTGGGTTCAGTCCACCCAAGGAGAAGATAATTAATTAGCAATGTGTAATTCTTTAAAAATTTGTCCATTTGGCTGATGGACTACATAGAGCATACCCTCTAATTTTGAGGTTGAAGTTGAAGGGTAAGCTCACTTAGAAGATTCGATTCCAAAGACTAGAATGATGAATAGGTTCAGGAAGAAGTTTATTTTAGCATTTTCAGAATCAGCCATTCATCCCAAATGTAAAGAGTAACAGGTTAGGAAAAGTATAATTGGAGGATAATAGGTAAACCATGAGCCAAATGCCTTTTAAAGAAAGTTTTCATTTGAAACTTAATAACTTTAAGAACACCTTAATGACTAGGGGCTTCTCTTTTAAATATACATGCAAAGAAATCCAAAGAAAAGTAGGATACCCAGAACATTCTCACACAAAGAAGTGACACATTTTGTGGAAAGAAACAACAGTTGTAGTTTTTTTATGTGGAAGAGAAGGCTGAAGAGTGATTTAATGGTCTTTGGAAATTCTAAAAATCCTGCCCAAACGGGAATAAGAGTTTTAAGTTAAAAAAGGGAAAAGTTTCTGCTCATGCATGCTTTAATACGAATTGGCTTTTACTGGTAAAGGGAATTTTTTTCTGGACTTTTTAAAGAGCAGTGTATTCACCAGTTTGGTAATGTTTATTTTGTATTTTTGTCTTAAGGTAGGGAATTAGATAATAGATTCTTTCCGGTTCTGTGATGCCCCTTCTGGATCATCAAATACCTATTCTATTAATAAAAGTACTTAGGATCTTATTCCTCTTATTCCCTTCTAAATTAGTAATTATCAGAGTAATTCATTTTTCCATTTTGTAAATAATAAAGATTTTTCTTGTACCATTTGTTCCCTTTCCCTTCTGCCTTCCCTTCAATGGAAGCTGACATTTTACTGATGGTTTATCAGTCTGGGTATCCTGCTGGGAAGTAGATTGAGATTTAAGAAAAGCAACTTACCATTGGAATGAATGGGTAATTGGAGACTTGCTAAGAAGTTCTAATTTTTTTTAAGTGCTTAATTTGACAGTGGTTTACCTACTGTTCAGCTGACTCAAAATGAATTATTACGCAAAGAACTGACATTCATGTTCATTTTGATGTTATGTTTCAGTCTGGGAAAAAAATTTCTCATGGAATTTTATAGACTTTATAGCATATGTGCTATAGATAAAGAAAATTATTTTTTTATGTTTAAATTGTTTAAGTAGCAAATCTCATTTTAGCCTGACTACATTAAGTAAACTGCAGGAAAAAAGAAATAGACAATTTCTGACTCCTGTATTACAGCACAATCCCCTATCAAACAGCATCACTGATAGTGGTTCCTAGCTGTTTCTTAAAAGAGATAATGTAGTTATTATAAGCTAGTAATCTTTGGTCAGTTCTCCCATTTTAGCTGAAAAAATATTGACCATTGATTTGTGTGTTTTTTAAAACGTGTCAATATTTTAACTGAAAACTGATAAGTACTGTAAAACAAGATTTCAGTTTCACCAGCCATTCCTTAAATTTATATCCTTAGCATTGGTTTAAAAGGCATATTTTATTTTTTAAAAAGGCATATTTTATATATTTTACTGTCAGTATATTTAGAAAATTAATAATTGTTTCTAGAACCTATTTTGTTCTTCCTCTATTGATTTTCAGCTTTCAAGTTGTGATACTGTATTTTAAATTTATTTTTTATTTCAACTTCTCCCTCTACTCCTCACTCCTGCCTGTTTTCTTGTCTACTTCCCCACCCATACTCCCTTTTCTTTTTTTTTTTCTTTTTGATAAGTAGCTTTATGATGCTAGTTTTTGTGGCTTTTTTGTGACATTCCCTTGAAGCATTTAGAGATTCTTTTGGGTAGTACCAAGGCAAAGAAGGCAAATATACTGTCAAAGATTTCGTGAGAGTTCCAGGGAACCCTGTGATGGTGACAAACTGTGACCCAGTATATTCCTAAAAATAGAGGGGTGCCAGCCTGAATGGGCATTTTTGCCTGTTCTCATTGCCAGCTAGTGATGCTTCTCCTGATTAATCTCTGGCATCACAGTGGTTGGAATGCAGCTTCAGGGAAAAAGCACAAAGTAGTCCAATGCACTTACACACGCAAAACAAGCATAATACAGCAAATATATTCTTGCAGAAAAATTAAAAAATCTAGCAATAGGATCAGTCCTGAGCATGTGATTTCCCTATTAACTAGAAAGAGGGATTTCCCAAATGTACAGCTGTTCTTTTAAATTGTCATTTTTCTGTCCAACTCCTACACAAGAACAATAAAATTAATACTTGTGTAGAGCATACAATATTTATTATTGATTCATATGCCTGTGGTTTTATACATGTTTTTAGTATGTTAATAGTCACTGATTTTAAATAGTTGCCTTAAAAAAGATAGGAGCTGTGAAAGTTTATTTTGTGTCCAATATAGTGTCATATGCATGAGTGCTTAATCCATTATCTCTGGTTAGTATATGTTTAGTTTCCTGTATCGCAAATGGCAACTAATATCAACTGTAACAGCAAAATCTTATCAAATGGAAATATTCCAAAGAAGAAACATGTTGGCGCCTACTGTATACCTATTTCAAATAGGTTGAAACAAGATTGTTTTCAAATCAGTTGTAAAAATACTCATGGGAATATTTCTCATACCTGTTATACTAAAATCTTCCTTAGAATTAGGGTTTTCCTTAGGTTTCAAAGACAACTGTTTGACCCAGTTTCTTTTAAGTTGTACAAAAAATTACTTTAGCCATCAGTGTTACTGTTTGATGTAAAGCACAGTAAAGTTGACCTAGTAATTTGAGCTTAAGGCCACCAATCCGGAGCATCTACAACTAAATTAATGAACATTCTATTTGCTTATTTGTGAAAAGTATATAGAATTACTTCATAATTGGGGCGTCTGGGTGGCTCAGTCATTAAGCGTCTGCCTTCGGCTCAGGTCATGATCCCAGGGTCCTGGGATCAAGCCCCACATCGGGCTCCCTGCTCAGCAGGAAGCCTGCTTCTCCAACTCCCAGTCCCCCTGCTTGTGTTCCCTCTCTCTCTGTGTCTCTCTCTGTCAAATTAATAAATAAAATCTTTCAAAAAAAAAAAGAATTACTTCATAATTACTTGGAAGTGACGAATTAGTGCCTAAAGTGCCTTGAATTAAAACTTAAACCAGCCTTATCTATAGTTTTAAAAATCTCTAGGCTCACACAGTTGTTTCCATATTCCACAAACTGATGAAATTGAGCTCTTAGATAATTAGAATCAGTCTGTATTCATATCTTTATATTTTCATAACTTTACAATTTGTTGACATTGCAGAAGAGTGCTCTGTGATTTGTACCATGACAAATACATGGATGCATGATTAATTAATAAGCATTGATGTTCATTAATAACATATTCATTTGTTTTCTAGGTATTCCAACCTTATTATATGGACTTGGCTCCTGGTTATTTGCTAGAGTCACAGAGACTGTACATACCAGTTATGGACCAATAACAATTTATTTTCTAAATAAAGAAGATGAAGGTGCCAGGTATTGAAGGTGTGCATCGGAGAACATAAATATCAGTGGATTTTCTCTTGTGTGTATATGCAATGTTTATTTTTGACCCCTTTTTTTTTTTTTTGAAGATTTTATTTATTTGGCAGAGACACAGCGAGAGAGGGAACACAAGCAAGGGGAGCAGGCTTCCCGCAGAGCAGGGAGCCCGATGTGGGACTTGATCCCAGGACTCCGGGACCATGACCTGAACCGAAGGCAGAAGCTCAACGACTGAGCCACCCAGGCACCCCATTTTTGACCCTTTAAAACAAAACTTTTGTAAACACCTTTTTCTTTCTACGGTGTCGGGTTCTTTAAGATGAATCATTGCCCTCAAGAGGCAAAGCTTTTCATACATTGTTATATATTGCGTGCTCCGTTTAGCCAATGGGAACTACAGATGCATGAAGCATATACCAATTTTTTTTCCTAGAATTGGGTTAAATTACAGATAAAAAATGATTATAACATACATATATTCTATAGTTAGGTATTAACAATTCAAGTCGATTCTTTGAGGAGAAAATGGATCTTTTATAGGACACTGGAAAAAGAAGTAGAGGATTTTAGGATATATGTGGAGATAATACCATTGGCAATTCCAGTTGGATTCTAATTGTAATCTGAAATTTAAACTATTCAGCTGCCAGAATTTTCAGTGGGAATGTCTTAAAGCCCTTGTGCCATTTACCTAGATGAGAGGTCTAAATGTAATGTTGAAACTTCTTACTGCCTAAACATCCAATACCATACTACTTTCTAAAAAATAATGACTCTGGTTAATGTAAATGTAGCAAGACAAATGAAATTAAGACCTACTAAAAGTTAAAATAGCATGCTGATAAAGCCGTAAGAACAATTAAGATCTAGAAAGACCCAGAAGAATAAATTTGGTGACTGTTTATAAAAGCAGTTAGCTGAAATGGTACAATATCCATACACTTCTTGGTGATGGGAAATGGGCTGAAATTTTAAAGACCTGATAGCAGTTTTGTGTTAAGATTTTATTAAGTTAATTGCATTTTTGAAAGCAAAGTCATTAAAAAAAATTTATCCTTGGGGGTAGTTACAAAATACCCAGATGAATGGTAAATTTCAGAAATTTGGAGTAATTTAGGGAGAACTAAGTAGAACTATTTAATTTCTAAACCAATGGGTGTTTAAGATTTATGATCTCTCCCATAATTACAAACATACATTATATATCATTTTATGTTAATGTGTTGCTGATACTCTGCAACATTCACACATTATTGTAGCAAAATATTTTATAAAATACAGCATTTGGGTGCTTGCTTCTGGCCAATCCTTAGAGAAAGTGAGTGGCAGTGACTGAGGTGAAAATACCAGAATAAAGTAATACAAACTGACTTCTTTAAAGGTAGTTGTTTTAAATGAGCTGCAGAAAGTGAGCTGTTCTTCAAATATATGTAGTGTTCACTTGTCTAAATGCAATTCTAAATAACACTTTAATCAAAGAAGTACGTATGCCATTATATTTAGTCCAGAAGAATATACTTGACACCAGTTAAATGAATGGCTTACACGAAGGAGATAGTGTTACATTAAGCTTCATTAATAATAAAACTGACTATTAGCATTTTGCAAGGAAGGCTAGAACTGATTTCCCCTGTAATGGGCAAAGTTAAATAACTATAGCTCATAAGTTTTAAGTCAAATACTGCTCATTCACTGCTGCTGGTCTTGTCAATACTTGCTGTAAAGGTTTGGTCCCAGCACAAGGCCGATAAAATGGTTTTTAATTACTAGACTATAAATACAGCTTTTCAGTAGAGTTGCACTTCTTTTCACACTGGCCTGTTTGATTTCTGATAATTTGTACTGCTGACTCTGCTTACCTGTTTTTCAATAGCTACAGTCAGTGTGACTTCTTGTCCATATGGTGATAGGTAAGTCTCCTTGGAGAAGATCTTTGACAAACTACCCTATTGATCTCTGTAATTCTCTGCTGCTTGCAGCATTAAATAGAGCCTTGATTTCTTGTCTCATGCGCTCGCTGTGTAACAATTAAGCAAATGTAATATTTTCTTGTATTACATGAAAATCAATAGACCTCTTGCTCTCATGGAGTTGATCATGGTGAAGGATGAACTCAACGATGGCTAAGGGCATAGTTCAAATATTAAAATACCAATCATTGGATTTATTAAGTCTTAACAGTGAACCTTTTAGTCTAAAAATGCTCCCCATTGAACAGTAATGGTTTAAGTTTTTCCTTTAAAGTTGAATATGACATGGAAGCATTGTGGTCTAAAAGGGATAAACTATAAATGCTAGAAGTCAGGAGATTGATTCTATTTTAGTGTCAGTCCTGTATTACTTTTTGACCTCAAGCTAATAACTCTACTCCTTTGTGTCTTAGTTTTTTCCACCTATAATCTGAGAAGAACAAAACAAGGAACCTTTCTACTTTAAAATGTATGATAAATATGCTTGTAAGCAAATGTCAGTTTTATTTCAGTAAAAGCTGGTTTTGTAGTCCTCATTCTTCCATTCCATATGTATTTATATGTAAAGAACTTCATTAACGGAAGGATTTTAAAAATAAGGGAGAGAAAGAAAGGAGGAGACAAATTGAGGCATTGTATGGTTGCCTGCTTGAGAGCTGATAATGCCTGAGATGGCAAGCAGGGTTCCAAGTTGACCCTGCCATTCTGGATATTAGGAATATTCTTAGTTGATGAAACAACCAAACACAGCTTTTCTGCCAATACTTCTTTGATGGGATTTTGTCTTTAAAAAAAATCCAGGCAAAACTATTTTTTAATGAAGATGAGTGTTAGTATAAAATTTTAGAAATCTTCTATTGTTACTTCTATGCAAATCAGTTATCAAGTATTGGAAGAAATTTCTGGTCAAAATTTTTAGTTCCTATGTGAACTGTGAACCACCATAAAGATACAATAAGAATTGGCATGGATGAGGTGGCTAATATAAAAATCCCTAGTTTCTCAGTGCTAATGTCTTATCATACCAAAATGACAAATAGCTATTTCTTTTATCACACATATTTGGTCACTAAGATTTTGCTAATTGTTGACTTCAGTAAAAAAATGAAACATTTTTAATTATTAAAAGCCATACATATTTCTTTTACAATGTACATTTTATTTCTTGTCATTTATATTTATATTCACTCAAAACTCTAAGCAAGAACATCTATAATGCTTCATGAAGTATCTCTTAATTCTATTAAAGAATGAATGATGTTTAAATGGGTGGGGTGACATCAAGGCAGGATCTTGGTTTCATTTCATTTAAAAGCTAATGCAGATAACAGAAACCTTATCCTAAAGCTGGTAGATCGGGTATCTTTTTTTCAGCACTTACCATTCAGACAGTAATGATGTTTGAGGGCATCTTAACCTAAACAAGTATTTAGCATTACATCTCACCTGGGTCAACAGTCTAGGGTATCAAAGTTAAACTGTGTTACTGTAAATTAATGGAAAATGTAACTGCACTTTGCTGAAAGATCAATGTCCAATAAAGGCTGCACAGTCAAATCTTGTTGCAATGATTGAGGTCTTTAATTGCCTTTCAAAGATAAGGTGGTAATCAACACAGCTTTAACTGATTTTTTTACTAGTTCAATCACATGCTAATGACTAGTGCCAAGTCAGAATCTTTAACTACTTATACTTATTAAATCTTATGTTAGTAATGAAAAATTACTTTAGCTACACAATTGATAGAACACAAATCTTAATTACTATATTTCACTTTTATACTATTTTATATGCTTGACAAATGTTTCACAAGAGCTTTCCCAACAGTAAGAAGTGTTATTAATAGTGACCGTGGTCCACAGAGTATTTTTGTAATATAAATTAGAGAAGAGATGTTGAGAAAAAATTTCTTCTTTAAACGAAAATGTGGCTAAAATAGTTTCCACTGACATAAGTTTGGCCATCCAGCTACTTCTAGGAATTCTATTCTGCTAATTCAGAATACCTTTAATACAACTGGGATAAAATAAATCCAGACTGTTTTTAGTGTGTTTCCAAAGTTTCGGTTAGTTTTCTAGTAAAGAAATTAATTTTGTGTAAAGCCTGCTATAAAATTCTCCTAATTGGGGAAAGGATAAGTTAGTAAAGGGAAATGAAAACTGAAAATAAGTAGGACTTCAACAAAATTAAAAACTTTCATGCTTCAAAGGATACTATCAAGAAAATGAAAAACCAGCTGATGGTATGGGAGAAAATATTTGCAAATCATGTATCTGATAGGGGACTTGTAGCTAGAATATATAAAGAACTCTTATAACTCAAAACCCAATTGAAAAATAGATTTGAACAGATATTTCTCCAAATAAGTTATACAAATTTTTGCTACTAAGCACATGAAAAGATGTTCAACATTAACTGCTGGGAAACTCAAATCAAAACCACAATGAGATACCACTTCATACCTCCTACGATGGCTATAGTCACAAAGGCAGATGATACCAAGTATTGCCAAGGATGTGGAGAAATTGGAACCCTCATGCATTATCAGTGGGAGTGTAAAATGATGTAACAACTTTGGGAAAGTTCGGCAGTTCCTCAAAATATTAAGCATGAACTTAACATATGACCCAGCAATTCTATTCCTAGGTATATACTGTAGAGAACTGAAAACATATGTTCACACAAAAACTTGTATGAAAATGTTCATAGCATTGTTCATTTTAGCCCCAAAATGGAAACAACCCATATAGCTACCAGTTGATGAATGAATAAATAAAATGTGGCATGTTCACACAATGAAATTCAGTCAAAAAAAGGAATGATGGACCCATACACATGATAGGATTGATAAAGCTAGAACACATCATGCTAAGTGAAAGAAGGCAGTCATAAAAGACCACATATTACATGATTTCATTTATATGAAATGTCCAGAACAGGCAAATCTTTTTTTTTTTTTTAAGATTTTATTTATTTATTTGACAGAGAGAGACACAGTGAGAGAGGGAACACAAGCAGGGGGAGTAGAAGAGGGAGAAGCAGGTTTCCTGCAGAGCAGGGAGCCTGATGCGGGGCTCGATCCCAGGACCCTGGGATCATGACCTGAGCCGAAGGCAGATGCTTAACGACTGAGCCATCCAGGCGCCCCCCAGAACAGGCAAATCTACAGAGCCAAAGTGAATTAGTGATGGTCTAGGGATGGGGAGGTTGGGAGGAAATGGGCAGTGACATGTCATGGGTATGGATTTTCTTTTTTGGGTGATGAAACTGTTCTAAAATTGTGGTTGTTCACGACACTGCGACTATACTCAAACCATTGAATGGTACATTCTCAATGGACGACTGTGTGGCATGTGAATTATCTCTCAATGAAACTGTTAAAAAATTAGTAATGGGGAGAGGGGAAATGGGCCATTAGTATTTAATGCGATATGGTTTCAATTTTGCAAGATGAAAAAAGATCTCAGACAGATGGTACCAATGGTTGTATAATAACGTGAATGATAATGTGACTGTACTTGATACCACTGAACTATACACTTAAAAATGGTTAACATGGTGCAGTGGCTGGGTGGTTCATTCAGACTTGGTTTAGGCTCAGGTCATGATCTCTGGTGGTGGGATCCAGCCCCACAGCCGGCTCTGTTCAGCGCCGGGTCTGCCTGAGATTCTCCCCCCGACTCCGGCTCCTCCCCAAGTATGCACTCTCTCTCTTTCTCAAATAAATAAATACATAAATAAATATATAAATAAATACATCAATAAAATCATTTTTAAAAAATTATTAACACGGTAAATTTTGTTTTATATGTATTTTACTGCAAATAAAAATAATTTTTAAAATTTAGTAAAGGATTTAATATTACTGCAATGAAATACAACTGATTACATGATTTCTATAGAAAATAATTGAGTTTAAAAACATGTTAGAGATTATAAGAGGTAAAACATGTTAATATCATTTTAGACATTGCAGTCTTAGAATTTAAAAAATTTTAATTGTGAAACCTAGTTTTAATTAAGTAGATGAAATCTCATTTGGGATCATTTTTAGTAGCATTAAGGATATACTTTTATATCTTCATTATATACTTGTATCCTGAAACTAATACAATGTTGTAGGTCAATTATTCTTCAATATAAAAATACATACACACATGCACAAAGAGATTTTTTTTTTAAAGATTTTATTTATTTGACAGAGAGAGACACAGCGAGAGAGGGAACACAAGCAGGGGGAGTAGGAGAGGGAGAGGGAGAAGCAGGTTTCCCGCTGAGCAGAGAGCCCGATGTGGGGCTCGATCCCAGGACCCTGGGACCATGATCTGAGCCGAAGGCAGACGCTTAATGACTGAGCCACCCAGGCGCCCCAAGAGATGTGTTGTTTTAAAAAGATGTACTTGGTTTGAGATTATTTAAGATGAGACCAAAGAAAAGCATGTAAAATGTTAGTAAATGAAAATATCCTCTTTTAGATCCTAGTTGCTGGGTAAAGAATATTAGCTACTACTAGTATGAGGTGTTATACAGTATTGCTTATAGCTATTTTAGTTGCACTTATATCATTTTAAATACAGTTTATGAACGTTGTACTACTCCATTATATTATTACTTTATCTTCAGTGATATTTATAGTATCAATTTAAAAGCAGTAAAACTTCATGAAAAGTAGCTTAAACACAAGGATTTTGATAAACAAAAGCTTCCAGTTTTTAAAAGCAAATCATGGGAGCTGTACTTCTTAGAGATTTGAAGTTTTCGTATTGTTGTTGATGATAGAATTATGAACCTTATAAACTCAGTATTTTTTAGTTAACCTAAATACATAAATCTATTTGAATTCATCTTATGAAAAGAGATATGTCATTAGATATATGATCATTATATGCTTTAGTGATTCATGGACCTTGTTACATACATGCTTTGTAATGTATGAATTATTTAGTAAGAAAAATCACAATAATTTTGTTGTTACTCAAAAATTTATGGGTTGGCAGAAACAATTATGCAGCCCCTGAAGCTGGTATGTTAAGGTAACATCATTAACACTACGTAGTATGATTTTTTTAGTAGTTACTTGATATAACCTTTACTGTTTCTGCTAGAATATATCAGTAATTTTATAACAATCTGTCTGTAAAGAGAACATTGAATTTATTAACCACAAAGTGATTCATTTTGCTCTATTTTCATATAAGTGCATAATTTAAAATCAGACCTAAAAAAGTTGTCTACCCTAAAGGAGGAATAAAAAAAATACAAATGAAAATCAATACTCCAGTAAATAGATTAAAAATTTTTTAAATTTTAACTCCACTTAATAAAAATGGATATTTCTATTTCAAAAAATAAATACGTTTAAGAAGTGAATGAGGGGTGCCTGGGTGGCTCAGATGGTTGAGCATCTGCCTTCGGCTTGGGTCATGGTCCCGGGGTCCTGGGATCGAGCCCTGCATCAGGCTCCCTGCTCAAGTGGGGAGCCTGCTTCTCCCTCTCCCTCTGCCATTCTCTCCACTTGTGCTCTCTGGCTCTCTCTGTCAAATAAATAAATAAAATCTTAAAGGAAAAAAAAAGATTTAAGAAGTGAATGAAAGTCCATGAAGATAGGAGATTATCTCATAACCTTTCTTTACGTATGATATTAAGGCCCTTTCTGTGAGATGAAGCCAAAATTATAGTTTCTTGTGCTTTCAGTTCTCCAGATTTATAAATGAAGGAACCAAGAATTTTAAAGTTGGAATATAAATCTAAATAGTGTCACCTAATTTTAGATTACATTTAAAAATCAATAGTCATTCATTCATCCTCCAAATACTTTTGCATTGACCACGTTGAAGGCAAATTTTAGTAATTTTACTTGTCAACAAAATCTAGCAGTTCTGAATCTATGTACAGGGTCCGTTCAAGCCATACTGGAGAAAAAAAAAAAAAACAGCCTCTGTACATAACTGGATGAGAACTACATCTTACTAATTTTGTGTTCACAACATTTATCATATAATGAAGACTTTGTGTGGAATGAATGTGTGATATTCAAAATTAAAAATAAAACTTGTCTTCATCTTTAAGAGCTTCAAGAAAAGGATACGTACCTGGAGATAATATGAATTATTTGCAAGAACAGCAACAAGTTTTGAAATACCTCACATGTAATGAATTAACGTACACTGTTCTATGTATTCTGAAAAACGAAAGACTTGAATCTTGTAATATCCTTTTGAGGCATTTCAAAAGGTGCTGTCTGTCTTCTCATTTTAAAGTCAAATGAAATGATATGCAGAAGTAAATGAAGTGAAACATTAAACAGAAAGTACTAGGATCAGTTAGACTTACTCATTTTAAATAGAACTATAAACAATATGTTGGTAACTAGGAGACAAGAACATTTCAATTGACTTGGCCAAACATGAAATGGGCTACCTCTTGAGGCAGTGAGTCCTGCTGTTGGATATGTTCAGAGAGGCTGTGTGACAATTCCTTAGGTAGACATGGAGAGAATTCTTGAATTAGACTGAGAACTGGATTGGTGATTTTGTAAGTTTCCTTTAATTCTGAAATTGTACTTCATTCTTGCATGCCTATTTCTGATTCCCAATCATGCTATTTAGTTTGGTGTTTATCACTGTTCTACTGTGTGTAATACAGAAGACCTTGTTCTGAAGATAAAATATATGGTTTAAGTTCTTGTCATACCATTACCAGTTAAATGACAGAGAAAAATTAGAGCTTTCTAAATCTTAACTGTCTTCATGTATACAATAAGGAGTTTATCGAACACTTACATAGCATTTATTTGTGCCAGGTCCTAGACTATGCACTCTATACATATTAACTCACTTAATCCTCTCTTAACAACCCAGTGAGTTAGGCACTGTTTTGATGCCTATGTTTTAGTTGTGGAAACCAAGAAGTCTTACCCAAGGTCACACATGGTGAGTGTTAGTCCAACCCCTGCAGTCTGTCTACAGAGTCCATCGTCTGAACCTACAATGCATAGGACAATTTTGTCACATAATGGATGTTCAGGGGTTTATCTGTGCTCATTTTTGTTCATGCCTCTTCATATTCTTCTTTTTTAAAAACTAAAGGATATTAGGCAACATGAAGAAAATGTTTATTGTTTAGTTGTTATTGCTATTATAAATTGTACAATTATATCTTTTTACAATTAAAATTTCCAATACATTATTGCTGGTGTGTGGAAACACAGCTTACTGTAAAAAATTTTTTTTGAAATAATTTTATTATTTTTTAAAAGACTTTTTATTTATTTATTTGAGTGAGAGAGAGAGAGAGAGCATAAGCTGGGGGAGGAGCAGAGGGAGAAGTAGACTCCCTGCTGAGCAGGGAATCTGATGCAGGACTCCATCCCAAGACCCTGAGATCAAGACCTAAGCCAAAGGCAGATGCTTAACTGACTGAGCCACCCAGGTGCCCATGAAATAATTTTAGATTTACAGAAAAATTGCAAAGGTATTAGAGAGTTCCTATATATGATACCTCACCCAGATTTCCCTAATGTTAGCCCCTTACATAACTTAGTTGTCAAAACTAAGAAGTCAAAGAAGTCAACATTGGTACATTATTACTAACTGAACTGCGGACTTCACCAGTTTTCATTATTGTTCTTTTCCTGTTCCAGGATTCCACTGAGGGTCTCACAATGTATTCGGTCATCGTGTCTTCTTAGTCTTCCCAGGTCTGTGACAGTTTCTTTGTTTTTTGTGTTTTATGACCTTGACAGGTTTTTTTTTTTAAGATTTTATTTATTTATTTGAGAGAGAGAAAGTGAGAGAGAGAGAGAGCGCATGAGAGGGGGGAGAGTCACAGGGAGAAGCAGACTCCCTGCTGAGCAGAGAGCCTGACATGGGGCTCAATCCTGGGACTCCGGGATCATGACCTGAGCCAAAGGCAGACACCCCACCAACTGAGCCACCCAGGTGCCCCAACCTTGACAGTTTTAAGGAGTACTTGTCAGGTACCTTGTGGAATGTCCCTCAATTTGGGTTTGTCTGATGTTTTTCTCATGATTAGATCGGGGCTATGAGTTTTGGGGAGAAGACCACAGAGGTCAACTGCCCTTCTTACTGCCTCATATTAGAGAGCACATGATACCAACATGACCTATTACTGGGGAAGTTAACCTTGATCATTTGTTTAAGATGGTGTCTTGCTAGGTTTCTCCACTGGGAAGTTAAGAGTTTTCATCCTCTGTTCTAATCATATTCTTTTATTTATTTTATTTATTTATTTTTTTAGAGAGAGAGAGAGTGTGTGTGTACACATGTGAGGGGGGAGGGGCAGAGGGGGAGAGAGAGAGAGAGAGAGAGAGAATCTTAAGCAGACTCCACCCCCAGCGCAGAACCCAACATGGGGCTTGATCTCATGACCCTGAGATCATGATCTGAGCTGAAATCAGGAGTGGGACGCTTAACCGACTGAGCCACCTAGGCGCCCCACGTCATATTCTTTTAAATCAAAATTAATCAGCAACTATTTGAGTGTTATACATAAGGGCCCACAGTAGGCCCTGAAGAAGATACGTGGAATTCTCGAGCATAGGAGGGAATCAATATTTGCTATAAAATTTGTAGTTCACTGGGAGTCCATAATGGTTGTTATTCTTGATGGTGGTGGTAGCAAAGCAAAGGAGCAAGTGAGGCTTACGATAGGCAAGAAATGTACATGGCAGTTGCATTCCTATTACTCAATCCACCTTGCCTTCAAAATCCATTCATTCACTCAACAGATATTATTAAAGTGCCCGCTGTGTGCCAGGTACTATTTTAGGTGCTAGGGACATGGCAGCGAATAAAGACACACACAGTTCCCCTCCCTCATTACCTTAGAGTTTAGTGGAGAGACAAACAAATGAGTGAAACCCCTGATATGTTAGTGATAAGTGCTAGGAGAAAAATAAAAGAGCTTGTATCTATGGGTGGAGTGGGTTTGGGACTGGTTTGTAATTTCCATAGTGTGTGCTAAAGGAAGGCTGCAGCTAGAAGGTGACATTTAAGTCGAGACCTACAGAATGTGCTCTTCTGGGGAGGGCATCCACGGGCGTTCAGAATGGTCCAGCATTTGACATACCGTCGCAGGCTGTCCTACAATACAGCTTCTAACAAAACTAGACTGTCCAGAACCCCTGATAATAGAATTTTTTACCTTTATACCAACAAGGTTGGGAAAGCACCAAAATCTCCATGTAGCCTATGCCCAGGCTGACTTTAAGGAGTTCGTGCAGTGAGACCTAAAGTCCTTATGAGGTTGTCTAAAACAGAAAAACATGTCAGCAGGGCCTATGGTGGTTCCATGTATGCTAAGTGTGTTCGAGACAGGATCAAGCATGCTTTCCTTATCAAGGAGCAGCAAATCATTGTGGAAGTGTTGAAAGCACAAGCACAGAGTCAGAAAGCTAAAAAAAAAAAAAAAAGAAAGAAAGAAAAAGAAAAAAGAAGCCATTTTTGAGTAATAAAATAATAACAACAACAACAGCAAAAGACCTGCAGAATGTGAGGCAGTGAGCCATCTGGATACCAGGGCTAAGAGCAATCCAGGCAGGGGGAATGGCAAATGCAAAGGCCCTGAGGTGGAATGCCTGATGTGTTCAAGGAACAGTGAGAAGGAGGCTGGTGTGAATGAGGGAGAGTAGTAGGAGATGAGGTTTGAGGGTCCAGAAAGTATCAGGAGCAGAATGTGCAGAGTTTTATAGGTCAAGGAAAGGACTTCATTTTTTACCCTGCACAAGTTAGGAAGCCATCTGGAGAATTTTAACCAAAGGAGTGACTTGATCTAACCTTGGCAACTAGGTTGAGAATAGAGTAGTAGCAAAGGTGGAAACAGAAGATTAGGAAAAAAAAGCAAGGGTAGTTTGAACTGGGGTAGCAGCTGTGAAGTGGTAGGAAGGAGTCAGATTCTGGGTTAAGAACTCAAGATTTAGAGCAAGGTAAAAAGAGATTAAAGAAAACCTCTGTGATTTACAATAGCAAAATGGATTTTCCTCATTAAAAAAAATATCACTTTACAACAACAACCATAAATAACCCGCTTTAAAACTGGGCAAAGGGGGGAGCCTAAGTGGTGTAGTCAGTTAAGTGTCCAGCTCTTGGTTTTGGCTGGGGTCATGATCTCAGCACTGTGAGACAGAGCCCTGTGTTGGGTTCTGCACTCAGCACTCAGCATGGGCTCTGCTTGAGATTCTCTCTCCCTCTCTCTGCCCCTCCTGCTCATGATCTCTCTCTCTCTCTCAAACAAATAAATAAATCTTTTTTAAAAAATGGGCAAAGGAATTAAATAGACGGTTCCCCAAAGAAGATATATAAATGGACAACAGGCATATGAGAAGATGCTCAACATCACCAATCACTAGGGAAATGCACATTGAAACCACAGTGAGATACCACCTAACATCCAATAGATGGCTAATATAAAAAATACAGAAGATAGCAAGTGTTGGTGAAGGTGTGGAGAAATTGGAACCCTCGTGCATTGCTGGTGGGAATGCAAAATGGTGCAGTCATTGTGGAAAACAGCATGGTGGTTCCTCAAAATATTAAAAATAGAATTACTATATGATCCAGCAATTCCACTTCTGGGTACATACCTATCCAGAAAAATTGAAAGTACAAATTGAGTTGGTTTTCCCCATAGTACTATGAATTAAAAAGCTGTTTAACAAATGATAGGTTCATAGAAAATTTCTAGTTTTGTGGTCTATTTTCTCAAATAATAGGAAATGAACTTACAATGAAACGTACATGGGGACCTTGGGCACACTGTTTACTTTTCACGGGACTGAGGTGCAGGTGGAAAAGGGCAATTTCAGAATATCTGGAGCATCTGATTAAATGAATTTCTACCTAAGCTATTAATCTACAATAACTAAAAAGATAATTTATCTCCTACAGGGACTTTCAAATTAAATTTAAAAGATATTCAGGCAGAGAAAACTGCACAAAATTTTTTGGTATTATACTGAAACTAATCAACATTTAAATTATTTTTTCTCTCGCGTGACTAAACTGAGTGTTAGGGGGAAACTGCCACTCCTCTCCCGCGAAGTTTATACAAAATTCAGCACCCAAAAGTAAAGCGACATGTGCCCCTTTATTAGCAGATTATGGACCAACCTACACGTTGCAATTTGTAAACAAACTTTTATCTAGGCACCATAGATCAACACAATTATGCACTTTAAAATGAGGTTAACAAGGCATTTAAAAACAACCCAGGGTTATTGCTACTGGCCTGAGGTATCACCGATTGCGTAAACATTGCTATCTAGTTGAAAATTTATGGACGAGACCGGATATTTTCTGCAACGATTTAATAATAGAACATGATGCCACTACTGCAGCTGTCCCCTGGCAGTTGAACTCTTCCCTGGTTTTCTTAACTGTTGCTTTTTTTTTTTTTTTAAAGATTTTATTTATTTATTTGAGAGAGAGAGAATGAGAGAGAGCACATGAGAGGGGGGAGGGCCAGAGGAAGAAGCAGACTCCCCGCCGAGCAGGGAGCCCGATGCGGGACTCGACCCAGGGACTCCAGGATCATGACCTGAGCCGAAGGCAGTCGCCCAACCAACTGAGCCACCCAGGCGCCCTTAACTGTTGCTTTTGAACAGAGGGATGTTTACTATTTCAGGGCAATCGTGGGGTAAAACAAAAAGAATTCATACACTCGTGGCTAATACGAGAGGAAGACGATGACCTTCCGCATGTGTGGCGTGTAAGAAGGAAGAGAAAAAGACAAGCACTTTTTTAGTTCTTGCCTTGCTCTTGCTAATTTGATGCACAAACCCCGTCAAGGTAGACGGCTTGACAAAGTAGGGATAAAGGAGAGCTGCACTTCTTTCTGGGGCTGCCGCAAACGGTACGCAATTTTGTGTCGTCAATTGGCTTTTGGCGGACCCAGTCCCAGTTCAGTTTCGTCCTTCGTTTGTTAGATGGTTTCACCTGGCCGCCTTTAACGAGGGTCGGGAAAGGCAAGGACCGTCACTCGGTCGCCGCGGGCGGCCACAGAACGACGGAGGTCTGCCGACTAGGCAAGCCCCGCCGGCCCTCAAGCCGGTCCCCGCACTTTGCGCGCACTCCCCGGGTCCCGCCCGCCCCGCCGCGGGGGCGGGGCCGGCCGGGAGCTGCCCTCTTCCAACATGGCGCCGCGGGAGGCGGGTCCCTCTCGCCGGCTCCCGGGGTTCCGGTGCCGTGCGTTTTGGTTCCGGAGTAACAGTGCCCTCGCCGCGCCTTCCTCCTCCTCCTGCCGCCGCCGCTGCCGCCGCAGCCGGAACGTTCGGCCTGGGGCGGCCGGGTTTGAGCCCGTGCGCGCCGCGCCCTCTCAGTCGGGGTGGGGAACAGGACTGGCTCCCCGACCCTCCCGCGGAAGGCCCTCCTCAGCTTTCTCGTGGTCTGGGGGCTCCGGGGCTCCTTCCAAACAGCTCCCGACTGAGTCCCGTCCAGTCGGGGACCCTCCACTCTCCACTAAGGAGGAGTGGACACCTGCCGCTCTGCCTCCCTAAAACGGGGTCGTCTCCTCACGCCCACACAGACGGCAGAGAGCTTCACGATCCCGTTTCGCCCAGTTTTCCAACTCCAGAACCTTCTAACCTCCGCTAGTTCCTACCGGCCCCTTCCTCCTGCTCCGTCCACGCTCACAGGGAGGCAGCTCCGACCCCATACAGCCTGGGTCTGGCTCGGTGCCTGCGGGCGCCTTCCAGACCCCTCCTTCTCTCTTTACTGCCCCCCGCACCGTCCTCCTCCCCTCGGTCCCCTTGTCACCTCTTGGAGCCCTCGCTTAACCAGGATCCAGTGGGTACTTCCTACCCCAGGATGTGAGTCCCTGTAACGTGTAATGCTGTGGCTGGCCCTTGGCCCCTTCCATGCCATGGAGAACCAGGTGCTGGTGATTCGTATCAAGATTCCAAATAGTGGCGCGGTGGACTGGACAGTGCACTCCGGGCCGCAGTTACTCTTCAGGGATGTGCTGGTGAGTGGTAATCTCAGTCTTCAAATCCCACTGAGGAGGGCGCAGGGATTTGTGGGGTAGTCAGCACCTTATCCACTGAATCTGAGCCTGGTGGCCCGAGCTAGTGGCGGTGGCCATTGCTGGCCTCCTGTGAGGGCAGTTTTATTGCTTCAACGACAGCATTGATTAATTGCATGTACTGAAATCTGGCAATTGTGCAGGGCCCTGGGGAAATAGAGATGAATCAGATTGAACCCCTGCCCTCAAGGAGCTCACAGCCTGGACTGGGACGTACACACAGAAGCAACCAACTGGATGCAAAAAGCTGAGTCTAGAAGTTTTTTCCCGAAGTGTTTCTCAGAATGTCCCTGGCCAGATTCCAGCCATGCCTTTCTACCGAGTTCCCTGAACTTGTTGACTCCTGGAGAAAGGGAAACTAGACAGCTTGAATTTGCCATGTTTCAGCAAACCTAAGGTGTCATTTTTTAAAGATACTATTTTATGTACCATTCAGAAAAAATACTGCCCGTTTAACTGTGACCTGCTGCACATTATACAAAAGTAGCCCAATTTCAGAGATGCTAGCGTTGAGGGAAAGGGTACATCTTGGAATCAATGCTGTGTCATTACTCTCAGGATACTCGGAACATATTTCAAATAAAGTCATGGGATGTAAGAGCAGAGTGTAATCTTGGCGGTGGCCTGTTGAGACCTCTTACCTTTTTTGAGATAGTTACTGAGGAGCAGTGAGGCGGAATGGCTTTTCCAAAACTGTGTTGCTCCTGAGTGGGAGAGTCAGTACCAGAACTCAGATTTCCTTACTTAGTAATTTTTTCCCACATGCTGCGCTGCCACTTCTCATCTCTTAGCACACATTTGAGATAGCCAGAGTGCATTGTGCCCATTTTATATATTGAATGATTGAGGTATGAAAAGCAGAACTGACATACCCAGAAGCATGTTGCAGGTACCAAATCTGTGGTGTATCTTACCTGCAAGATAAGATGGGGCGGAGCAGAGGTTCTTGGGAGGAGGGAGATTTCTGATGTGATTTTTTTTTTGGTAGTCGTAGGTGACTCAATCAAAATTTGATTCCTATACCTACATTTTGAATTCTAGATTTTACTGACCACGCAGAACATAACAGATTTTCAGGTGTCTGGGCCAGGAGTCCCGAAGCTGGAGTGAGCCAGCAGCTTCCAATCTTGTACACCAGATGTTGCCCTTCCCTTTGAGTTCACACACTCACATACATATAGATTTCCTCCCTCATGACAAGGCCCAAACTTTTTAGCACAGTCCTCTAGGCCCACGTGGATTGGCTTGTGCCTATCTGGCACCAGCTCCATCTCTCACCACACCCCTGGGAGGATCATGTGCTCCAGGTACATAGAACTAACCTTGAGTTCTTCCAGGCTGTCTCCACTCAGCCCCTTTCTTCAGCTGGCCAACTCCTACCTGCCATTCAGAGCCCAGCTTCACTTTTCCTCTACCTTAATCTTGGTTATGTGCCCATCCTCTGTGTTCCCACAGCTTTGCTCCAGCAGAGGTCACAGGTTTTGTCAGTTTTGTCTGTCTATCTCTTCCACTGAAATGGTAAACTTCTGGAGGAGATGGACTTTTCTGTCTCCCCTCTGTCTCTGGAGCTCCATAGCATCCTGAAAATTTTTTTTTTTTTTTAAGATTTTATTTATTTATTTGACAGAGAGAGACACAGCAAGAGAGGGAACAGAATCAGGGGGAGTGGGAGAGGGAGAAGCAGGCCTCCCCGCCAAGCAGAGAGCCCGATGTGGGGCTCGATCCCAGGACCCTGGGACCATGACCCGAGCCGAAGGCAGAAGCCTAACAACTGAGCCACCTCAGGCGCCCCCCAAAATATTTGTTCAAATATTTCAAAGGGAGCTTCAAAGAAGATGCATGCAGTTATGGTTTTGTGGACCAGGCTCCTGGGTTTTGAATCTAGAAACATGGGTTTAATTGCAGGCAGTCCCACTAACTAGGCAAGTCACTCTGCCTCTTTGAGCCTTAGTTTCCTTACTTGTAAAATAGGGACTATACCTGTTTTCAAGACTTGCAAAGATTAAGTGGAATCATGCCTGTGATGAGAAAGATGTGAGCTTTCTTTCACTTTGCTCATTTGAAATAACAGAAAGTATTATTTAAAATAGAATGGTGCAGGGGCACCTGGGTGGCTCAGTCAGTTAAGCGTTTGTCTTCGGCTCAGGTCGTGATCCCAGGGTCCTGGGATCGAGCCCCACATCGGGCTCCCTGCTCAGTGGGGAGCCTGCTTTTCCCTCTCCCCTGCCCCTGCTTGTGTTCCCTCTCTCGCTGTCTCTCTCTCAAATAAATAAACTCTTTAAAAAAAAAAAAAAATAGAATGGTGAGATGTTTAAAAACACAAACTCTGGGCCAGACTCCCTGGGTTTAAATTGCAAGCCTTACCAGACTCACTTTGGGCAAGTGTCTTCTGTGTCTCAGTTCTTCATCTGTAAAAAAAAAAAAAAGTGGAGAGTGGGAGATAAAAATAGTGCCCACCTGATGGAGTATGAGGACTACTAGAGTAGATATACATAAAGCACTTAGAACAATCTGGAATGTAGTAAGTGCTTTATAAGTATTGTTGTTATAACATAAGGGACAGGGCCTGGGTCTTCTGCTTCTCAAGCATCTCTCAATGGTTCCTTGGCTCCAGGCTGACTGGCCTTAAAGCAAACTTTGCACAAATGGTCCCACCATCTAGAGCTCAGAGTGCCATGTGTCTTCTCACATGCGCATGCACAGGTAAGCCCAGGTGGAGCATGCTTTGCAGGAAGGCCTGATGAAGGTCTCTTAGCAATGGGTGCTGTGCTATCTCTTATGCTCTTAATAGCAGGCTCTATGAACTGCACGCCCAGATCCTGGTGGACACCTGTGATCTCTTCTCTAGGGTCACCTCATTTTCATCAAGAGATTGGCAAAAACCACAGATACATCAGCATCTTTGGCTTAGAGCCTTAAAATTTAAAGCCTAATGAAATTTGGAAGCATCCCTGTCATCTAATATAACTTCACCCCAGTTTTCAAATGAGGGAGCATGAACCCCAGAGGGGGAAAATGCTAAAGTCACACAGCTCATTTTGGGCCACACCAGAAACAGAAGCCAGAAGCAGTTTGTGGTCACTGAGTCATCTGTACCTGAGCATGTTTTGGATGTGGGGTTGCAGTTGAGGGCTCTTGTCACAGCTCCATCAAAAGGCTGGGAGACCCTTGAGAAGTCACTCGGCCTCTCTGGGTCTTTGTCCTGCATCTGAATAATTAGAGACTGGCTGGTCTCCGAGGGCAGAGACATTTGGTGATCTGTTTTTCAGCTTTCTATTCTGTGTTCTGTTCCTTGTAGACACAGCCCCCAGTTTTGGGAAGATTGTGCAGGAGATCTCAACTACTCAGTGGGAAGAGAGAATGTTCCTCTTATTCTTCTTGCTATATCAATCCTGTCTCCCAAGTCCCAGCTCAGATTTCCTCTCATCTGTGAAATTTTTGTCTAAACTGAGTCTTTGATTTTTTCCTGCCTCCTGAGTTAGCAAATACTTATTTGCTATTTATGTCTTTTGTTTGCTCTTATACTATAAGTGCTCTATTTTGTTACTCTTTTAGGTTTGTCTTTATCTCTGACCAGACTAGCATCTTTCTAAATCTTATTCTTCTATAGCCTACCGCTTTGTGATCTTTATGCTCCTGGCCTGTTGTAGATGCTTAGTTATACTTTTGGCCCATCATATAGTTGATGGATTTATTAAAAGCACAGAGAAGAAAAGGATCAAGAAATGTTCACCATTAAGATATTTAAATTTAAGTTTTCTTTTGAAACCTTCTTTAGGTAAATGTTATGTTGGGAATAAGACAGGTGTTTTTTTGGGGGGGGAATAAGTCACTTAAAATATAACTGGAAAATTTATGTAAAATTATTAAAGGTGCCCTGCTTAGAAATAACCAGTAGGTATTAACTAATTTTGAAGCTTTTTAGCTCTTTGGCATTATGATAAGCCCCACTTTATTTGCTTTAACAAAATAAGATTGTTGGTTGTGTTCACATGGTTCTCATGATTCTCTCAAGCAAGTTTGCTTTTTCTTTCTCCTTTTCCCCACATTAGGTGTAAAACCTATGTGGCTCCTTGATTATGTTGATGCGCAAAGGATGCCATTGCTGCCAAGCAAGGTTTTCAGCTAGTCATTAGAAATTTGCTGCTTGATGGGTTCTGCTATTCATAAGTAGGAAGGATCCTAAATTAGGTTGCGATTACTATAGAGTTCACATCTCAAGATTGAGGTGGTCAGAGTTCCCTTGAAGTAACCAGAGGTAACCTCAACTTGGAGGGTTGAGGGTGGAGTCCCCCAGCTTGTTTTTAACTACACACCCAGCTAGAAAAGGTCCTCAGTAAATGCTATCGAAGGATGATGTAGGTGAATGAATGACCATCCACCCATCCTTGGGTGCTGAAATTTAGGGTTTCGTTGTGAGGTAAGCTTTGTGACGTTCCAGTCATCAGTGACTTGTTTTATTTAATAGACACTCATGTGGCGCTTACCGCGTGCTAGACACTCTTCTACGCACTTTACAAATCTGAACTCATTTAGTCCTATGAGGTAAGTACAGTTACGATCTCATTTTACACAGAAGGAAACTGAGGCGCAGAGAGACTCAGTCACTCAGCTACTGAATGGCAGAGCCAAGGTCCAGCCTTAGCAGTTCGGCTCTAGTCCACATAGTCAGGCTTTATGCTAGCTGCCTGTATAGTATATTCCATACTCGCTCTACAGTTTCCATTTACCTGGCAATAAATACTTTCTGCCTATAAGTGTATAGGATTTCTTTAACACTAAAATTTTTTAGAACTACTTCCTCAGAGTTGATGTTTCATTTGCTAAGACTAGAATCGGAAGGAAAAAAATCACCTCCTTTGGCTCTAATGAGCGAGGGCTGCCTCAGATAGCTCTCTTTGATCAATTTTATATGCACAGATTTATTTTTCAGGAAAAAAAAA